ATGGAGATACCTCAAAGAACTAGGACTTGAAGTCCCATTTGACCTACCTATTCCCCTGCTGGTATCTTCCCCAAAGAATTAAAAGAATCATACCACAGTAGTATATGTGCACTCATGTTCATAGCAGCACAATTTGTAATAGCTAAAACTTGGAAGCAGCCCAATTGTTTATCAAGTGGAGACTGGATAAAGAAAATGTTTTTTTTTAATAAAATGGAGTACTATTTATCCATAAAAAATGAGAAATTAGAGACATGTATGCTAAATGGATTCACATTAAGGTGATACTCTTAAGTGAAATAAATAGGACACGTGTAAATACCAAATAGTTTCTCTGGTGTGAGAAACTGAAAGTGTAAATAAGGACTAAAAGGTATAATAGATAATGTGAAATAGACAAGGGGCTAAGGGGAAGGGGAAGTGGGAGGGGTAGGAGAAAGGAAAGAAGGGAATGGAATTAATATGAGAAAATGGAAACAAAATGGAAAACAAAAATGGAAACAAAGTCTTTGTAAATAGGGAGGGATGGAGGAGTTGAAGGGAGGGCAGGGGAAGGGGAAAAAATAAGAACCAAGAGAGACTATGTAAAGGTGCAAATTTCCAATGATGAACATCATTATATTGTATACCTAAAATGTATCAATAAAACTTTTTAAAAAATCACTTTGAACACACAGGGAAGAGGACTTGTATGCTGTGTTTTTGTTTTGTTGTGCCAAAAAGAATATGGTGACCTTTGAGCACTAGACCTTCCCAGAGGTCCCCACCAGTAGGCAGCCTAACCAACCAAATTTCTGTCTCCTGCAGCCGATGCATGATTTGGAGGACTGGGCTCTCTTCATCACTCCAGACTACTGTTTTAAGTGACAGAACTTTTTTATTTTCAATTGAAAGCTTTCTACAATTTATTGTAAACAAGTACAATACTGTAAATAAAGTTTTTAATCATTTCCTATTCAGTTAAGCCACAATGTTTTGTCTTTTGGGGGTATAAATTACATATACAAATAGTAATGATAACTGGCATTAATTTTTACTCCACTGTCGTGGACACGCCCGTCTGAATATCTAGCATACATTTGCTCATTAAATCTTCATAAGATTTAAGATGCTATTGTTACCACATTTTCCCAATGAAGAAACTCAAGCCAACAGAGGTTAAGTGAGGGTTCTGTGGTCACAAAGCACAATATACAAACCCTAGTGCCATGGGTTAGGAACCCACATGCCTAACACTATACTGCAGCTATGCACAGAAGAGCGCATGACGGAAAGAACTGGGTACAGACTGCATCCATGTCCTGCCTGTGAGGTTTCCATCCTGAAATGAGCATAGATAGAAAATAAAATAGAAAAATGGGGACCCTAGACCTACCAACCAGTGTAAATGGTCCTCATTTGCTCATATCCAGTGAAAGAATACAGACACAAAATAAGCCTATCGATAAAGCCATCAGTGGAGCTTTCAGTGGTAGTGCCGTAAATGGGGCAAGAAGGCTGAGCTTGGAGACATGTCTAAATTGCCTGTTAAAATTTTAACCAAACTACACTAACTAAAGATTGGGCACCTCACCTTTCCTCCCTGCTGTCCCCTAGGAATATCACTGAGGGTCGTGTCCACCCCTACATGCACATCTGTGATCATCCTTACAATGCTTTGAACCTCTCTGATTCCCTCTTGCTCTGGACATGGTGAAAATTTTCTCAGAGTCTACATGAAGGATTTTCCTCTGGTTACTGCTCTTTAAAATGCACTCACATATGCCTGTGGAGTTGCAAGCACTAGGAATATTGGCGGGGCAATATTCACAGTGCCGCGAGCAGCCCTGGCCTTCTCTCGGAAGTCTTAACTGTGGCTCCTGGTGGGGTGCATTTGATTGTGCTCCTTCATTAGTTCATCCATTCAGTGAATGTTTATTGAGCAGCTACTCTATATTGAGCTCTCAAGGACTCAGGGTCTAATGGAAGAGACCAACATTAAAAGGTGATGACAACTCCACATGGTGGTGCATGCCTGTAATCCCCACACTCTGGGAGCATGAGGCAGGGAGATTGAGAGTTTGTGCCCAGCCTGGGCAAAAATACTGTCTCAAAATTTAAAACATAAAATTTTAATGGGCTGGTGATGTAGCTCAGTGTGAGGCCCTGGGTTCAATCCTCAGCATTGCAAAAAAAAAAAAAAAAGAGAGAGTGAGAGAGAAAGAAAGAGAGATAATGGCTCTGTACAGATACAAACTGTGCAAAGAGCTATGAAGGAAGAGCTCAGGCTGTGAGAAAGACATGAAACATGCAGGAAACCAGTTTAGATGAGAAGCTAAGAGCTCAAGACTGAGGAGTAAAATGAGAAAGGGGGGAAGTTCTTGCCCTCAAAAGGAAGAGCCAATGAAAGGCCTGACACATTTGTCCTCAAAGAGACCAGAGGTGCATCTGAAATAATAGACACAAGGCACTAGGAGGGGGAGGGAGGAAGGCTTGCGATCTCCTTCTAACTGTGAAGATCAGCAGGGAAAGGATTTGAGCCAAAGAAGTAACTTGAGAAAGAAAAACACCAGCCTTGCCCTCTGGGAATTCACAATGGTGTAATTAGATTATGGGCTCCAAAAACTTTAATTAGGCTTTGGTAAAATGATGAGAACACAGATATCACACTAATGCCTTACTAGAGGGCTTGGGAAGATATAATCAGGTTGACACTAACTACTTTGAGAATTCTATGTTCTGTTCTGGCTATTACCCTTCTCAGTGCAGATAAGGAGAGAAGAGGTTAGGGGATATTTATGTTCTGGGGACTACTGGAGCAGAAAGAATACAGTACATTTGCCAAATGGGGGAAAGGTTTTCTTTAAGTTTAAATGGATTCTCTTCTTTTTCCTGTTAACATAAATTAGCTTCTCTGTTCAGGTTTTTTTTTTTTTTTTTTTTTTTTTGAGACAGGGTCTTACTATGTAGTCTAGGCTGGTTTTGAACTCACTATGTAGCCTGAGCTACCCTTGAACTCACAGCAATCCTCCTGCCTCGGCCTCCCGAGTGCACAGATTACAGCCGTGCAACACCACTCTTGGCTTCTCTGTTCAGTTTTTATTGACGAGGATCAAGATGCTTCATGAAGGCTGCAGAGTGTTAGCTCCGTGGTGGTATTTGCTTAACCCATGCTTTCATGGGGTCCTGGGTTTGATCCTCAACACTGCAAAAGAAGAAAAAAATATAAAAAGGTTTGTGCGACACTCTTAATTTATTTCCCACAACAACTAGTGATTTGGTATCTGTCATTATCTTTGTTCTCTTAACCCATAAATTGACAAACCTATAGTACATGGGCCAAATCCAGCCCACGACCTGTTCTCATGCAATGCATGTACTTCAGCCATAGCTTTCTGTTCTGTATTCTGAAGTTTCAGTATCCAAGGCCTTGCTGACCCTGGAACAACTGCCTTTCCCAAGATAGTAAATTCCTAAAGACAATAAATACCCACAAGCTGCTTTTCAATAACAAACCAGCCACCAGAGTCCACAACCCCAACCACCTCCTTTATTGGACTCTCACAATCCAGGACTCTATCTACCTGTCCTAATTACCCCAGGGCTAGGTATCAAACAGCCAGGGACAGCCTCTGTAACCTAGAGCCCAGGGATACTGTTCAACTTTCTGATCCTAGACCTACTTACCCTGTACTGCCCAAGCCTTCCCACAGAGCTCAAAATAAAAACTCTAATCCTTAGTTTCTCCTGCTCCCTCTACCCCAGCCAACAGAAAAGCTGTCTTGCACAGCCCTCTTTTGAAAACCCTAATAAACTGTTTTTGTGATGGCAATGGTTGATTGATCTCTTGGCCTTACTAGACTTTAAGCCTTCTATTAATACATGATATTTTAAAATATTATGAGCCAGGCACGATGGCATATGCCTGTAGACCCAACTACTCCAAAGGCTGAAGCGGGAGGACAACCCAAACCCAGGAGTTCAAGATCAGCCTGAAAAACAGAGAAACCCCATTTAAGTAAAACACCGTGATCTAAGAATAGCTTTTACACTCTAAAATTGTTGAAAAACTCAGAATAATTATACTTTATGACACATGAAAATTACATGAAATTCAAATTTTATTGGAACTCAGCCATAGTCATTCCTTCACTTATGGTCTGTGCCTGCTTTGGGGCTTCAGTGGCAGAGTTACATTACTGTGACTGAGATCCCACAAAACATGAAAGTACTTACTGTCTTTGCAGAAGTAATTTGCTGACCCCTGCCTTACACTCCAGAACATCCTTGTTATTGTATCTGCTAAGTTAATTATCAATGTTTCTAATCCATCACTCTGTCTATATGGAATAAACCCATTTATAGTCTGAAAGCTTCAGAATCTCTAGGTTTAGCTTTCTTCTTTGAGCCTATTCCCAATAAAAGAGTCTCCAGTGTTTTATTAACTTTTTATAAATGATTCTCAGTAAGAAGAATGTTTTACACTGTGACTCAGGACCCTCATGTAGGTAATAGAAACAAATTCATTCAAGCTTACTTATCCTTATAACATGTGGATCACTTTGATGGTTTCTGTTCTTTTCTATTTTGTTTTTAAAATATACTGGTCAAAATCTACTAACTTCACAACTCAGTCATGATGTGCACACAATAATAAATTGAAATAACATGAAATGTTTCTCTTCTGCTCATTCTACTGAGGAAGACAAAGATGGAAATGCATAATAGCAACAAAGCACAAATGATATGAGGGTTTTTTTAATGTTCTAGCAGAAAAGAGAAAAGCGAACTAATTTTTTTCAGTTGTTGGGTAATTTAATCAAGAAAGTAAGATCTGGGGAAGGGAAAAGAATGAAAATGTGTTATGTACATGTACCAACTCCCCATGATGAGTATAAGCATTATGTCCTGCAAACATGTACTAATAAATATTTTAATTAAAAAAAAGATTCAACTGAGTCTTGAAAGATGGTCTGCTAGAAAAGCAAGAAAAAGACACAATTCACTTCATTCAGGATGAGCTAAGGGTTAGATCTCATCCAATGATTTTTTAAAATTTCTAGTTCCTACTGTAATGTTCAGCACCCAGGGTGCAGGGAATGGATTGATATAGGTTCATAATGTGTGTATTGTTGCCTCAGAACTTACTGGGCCCAACTCTGCCTCTATATCTGTACATCTGAGTTCTTGTGTCTTATTTGGTTTTTACCACTTCTCCTTTCTATTGGGGCCTTTAGAAATTCCATACAAATATTTTTGTTAGGAGCATACTGTAAGTAATATTTGAAACAAAGGCCCCGCATTCTAATTTACTATAAACATTGGGTGAAAAAAATGAGGTTAGGGTCTAGGGATTTAGCTCAGTGTTTCCGCCGCCTGCCTTGCAAGTAGAAGGACCCAAGTTCAATCCCCAGTACCAAAAAAAAAAGAAAAGAAAAGAAAAGAAAAGAAAAACCGAGGTTAGAGAGCCTGAGTTCCAGTTGGTCATTTTTTAACTTCACAAAGCCACCCAGGATAGATGCCCACTAAATGACTGAACACTTCCTGTGCCTTGCTTACCTATAAAGGACTCTAGATTGAGGACCACATGGCAACCCACTTGAGACCCCTCCTAAAAATTCAAGAGCTGTTCTTCCTCTTCTTATTTCCAATAAAAACTCTCCTAACTTCCTTCCTTGGTTTGTGACTTCATTCTTCAATGTTTGTGAAGTCACAAGGCTGGTGCACATAATAACACTATTTGCCATGTTTAGTTCTGAAGAAATTCATCAGAAGAGACTCACCAGTCAAATCTACACTATATTGCTGTTACCCTTCCATCTTGAATTTTTTTGTCTTGTCTGCCATCTCCAGCTTCGAACTCTCTATTTGTGAATTATGACCTACAGGTGCCAGACCAAGGCTGCCTATTCTACGCTAAGTTTTCCTGAGCCCACCCTGGGCTCCTCTCCTACTTGCCTCTCTCTCATACTAGGCTGAGGCAGGAACAAATGAATTTCTGCCTCCTGACACTCATATCTAGAAGGCCTGCTCCTACATGCTACCTCGTGGAGTCTAATCTGCCCCCCTTTACCAAGTTTCTTGAAGATTCTGCACAGTCCCTTTAACTCTGAGTCCTGGCCTTCCATAAATTTGGAATGTTCACTCAAAATTACCTGTGTTGTTATGCAGAAAATTTTAAAACTTTTCCTCCCTTATAATGCTAAGTGTCTCTGCCTAGCCTAAACTTATCTATACAAGACCAAAAGAAGCGTTCAAATGGGAAATGAGACAATAAGACAGAGTCAAATATTCTGAGCAGAATTATTACTCCACAGCACAGAATAAGGTTTGAATCTTTCAGATAATAGAGGTGGGAGGTGGTATTCATGCTGGAAATTCAAAGAACCAAGGGCAAGCACCTGGAATAAAACAGCAGCCTATGGACTTTCTCCAGTGCTTTGCTCGTACATCCCCAAACAATATCTGTTCATTAGTTGTTCCCAGTGTCACATGTGGCCAGCTAGGGTGAAATGAAAAGTTTAACCTGCTCATCCACAGATTGGTCTCAAACTACCTAATGGCCAATGTCCATCAAGGCCTTTTTCCAGAAATGACTATCTATAGGGCATCTCCTGTTGAGAGTCCATCTCCTTTTGGCAGAGTGTTGAGCCCAACCTTAACAGCTAGGAAAGAAGCCCATTGCATGGATGGTTGGGGGGAGGTGTGGAAACAGGGAAATGCAGCCCATTTTATCACTTGCACTTATGAGTGTAGGAAAAGTCTGAACACTCACATGTGCTACTAACAAGAAAAGGACCTGTTACCTCCCAGATATGGAAGTGTACCTTTTCAATCTTCCCTTACCTTCCCTGAGGTTTATAATTCCGAGTCAAAGGCATCAGCCACTCTGGTGCAACATGCAGTGGATGCCTCAGGCCCTCCCAGAAGTGGGCTCTCAGCACTCACTTTATTCTACTCCAGTTCTACTGTAGGATATTGATTCCATGCAATGCAGCATCTGGCCACATCCATACCTCCATGGCTGTCTTCTCTGACTTCCCTCTAGTATCTCCCTTCACCAGAGTCTGGGCAGAGTTGCATGGCTTTTGTTTGGCATGACATTACCAATGTACTGCTCCAGTCAGGCAGGAGGTTCCAGTCAACTGCAGAGTCTCCACGAATCAGAAGGACTTCTGGGCTACAGGAGGGAAATTAACATCTTTGGAATTCCCAACAACATACAGAACACCCCCAAGAAGTGATGATCATCACATATGATGAAGATGTTTTAATTAGATACTAGGGTAGAGATGAGTAGTTTTTAAGAAGACAAAATCCAGAAGCCTAGGGGTATAACTCAGCTATTGGGCACTTGCCTAGAATGCAGATAACACTATGTTTGATTTCCAGCATCACACACACACACACACACACACACACACACATACACACACACAACCAGATGACTGAAAGGAAAATATTAATATACTGCACTATTATTTTTAATCCATTGATAAAAGTTACTACAAGCTGGCTATAATGGCATGTCTGTAGTCCCAGATACTCAGGGGGGCTTGAAAAGCTACCATAAAAAAATGAAAACAAAGGAAAAAGAATAGAGTGGACAAAATGCTTCAAAACAATGCAACAAGTAGTATATCTAATGTACAAAGAATGCCTACAAATTGATTTTAAAGCACACTAATAGTAAAATAGACAAGGGCATGAATAGCCAATTGATAAAGGAAGAAACATACATAGCTAATAAACCTATGAAAAGAAACTCAATCTCACTAATAAATGTACATTAATACAAAAATTAAATACCATTTTTCACACAGAAGATTGACTATAAATTTTATAACTTTAAGAAAAAAATGTTAGAAATGCTTACATACAGAACTGGCAAAGGGAGGAAAATGAATGCTTACAGATTGTTGACAGTGATTGATTCACTATAATACTTTGAAAGATATTCCGATAATTTCTAATAAAATCACAAATCCACATACCTCTTGGCCTAGAAATATTATTTTGGGAATCTGTTCTACAGATACAAAATATCTGAAACCCACCATTGATTTTAGTGGCAAAAAAAGAGAAAATTGTCAAAGAAAAATTATCTACTTACACTTCCCCAGGAGGTAACACTATGGTATTTTGTTCTTGGAAGATCTTTGAACCATCGAACAATGAAAGAGACAAATACACACACTGGATCCTTGGTTAGAATATCAGGGTGGCTCCCCCTTTGTTAGTACTTTTTCCTCCTCTGTAAAGTTCTAGCAAAGTTCTTCCTTGTTGTGTACTTCTTGCTTGGCAATATAATAAACTTTATATTTTTCAGTGCACCAGTGTTTTTTATTTTATTCTTCCATGGGAAAAAAACTAAATGAATTATGGTTTGGGAATACTGAACTCTAGTGCCCATAGAATGTGTATTGGGGTGAGACTGACAGGCAGTTGTAGGTTTGTATCTGAAGCTTGGGAGGTGTTTTGGGAAGCAGTAGATAATAGGATGACATCAGCTAAGGTATTAGTTGAAGCAGAGACAAGAATACGATACCAGATAAGTGGAATACTTTGCCTGAGAAGATAAGAAGGGGACTACTCTAAAAGATGGGGAAAGTTTAAGTGGATGTGTAGTCATTTAATTATAGGCTTCAATGTTCATTCTTTATTCATAGCCCATGTCCAATGGCCAGTGTCTTCTGTTGCTTATACAATAGTTTTAAACTGAATGTTTTGTTTACTTTTCTAGCTGCATTTTTTTCCAAGACCTCATTCAGAAAACAAGGGAGCTGTGTGGCCATTTCATGATGGAATAAGCATACATGTTCTTGGAGGGACCCCATGATTTATCCCTCTTATGCAGCACTGATAAGAAAACAGGGCCTGTTTCAAGAGGAATTTATGTCAGATTTATGTCAGAGAAAAATAACTTCATTCAGATTGAACTGAATTTCTATTTGGAATCTCACAACCACCACCATTACTGCCTTTCCATGGGAACTGTAGAAATTCAACCCCAATATATTTAGGTTCATTCCTATTCTGCCCATAAAGGCCACCTTAGCCCTTACAGATGTGGTAGTAGCTCTGGCTCCTCTGTGCCTTTGTTGAAGATTAACTGAGCAGAGACTGTTGCCAGCTGCCTTCTCCCTGGTCTCAGGTCCCCTGTCATCTCTGTGTAGTCCTTTCACCCTTTCCTCTCACCCAAATCTTCAAAGAACTGTGCCCAGCTAGCATGGTTCATGAGCCTTCTTTTCAGGACCCACCCAGTGTTCTAGGGCTGGGCAACCTCTGGGAGGGTGTGGCTATTTCTTTCTTACCTGTCAGACTCTAGTATCTGATTTTCTCCTAGCCCTCCCCACTCAAGAGACCTATTAATCATGATTTTAGACACAAAGACACTCCCTCTATTGTAATCTTTACTCTCAGAGGCATCTAATATAATCTCCTTGGTAAGTATGGGCTTTAATCAGAAACCAGCAGATAGTTTTCTTCTGTTGTTCTCCAGGGAAAATTGACTTAAATTGGCTCATCTTCTTGAAGAGAGGGGTGTGTATGTGTGTGTGTGTGTGTGTGTGTTTGTGTGTGTGTGTGTGTGTGTGTGTATTGGGGGAGTCAAGGGAAAAAAAGGAAATGCACAAGAGGAGAAAAACATCAGTTAGTATCTTGAAATAGTGTTTTAATAGATGTGATTATTTGTTTTTCTTCAGGATGGGGCCTTGTGTCTCTAACTCAGGTCATTCCATCATACCCAGAGCTCAAACAAATTCACATCTCTTGGACGTCTGAAAAAGAAACATAATGACATAATTTTTGCAACTTTGAGCAGTAACATCTCCACTGACAATGCATCCCTGCCACAAAAGGATTAGAAATAACTTCAAATATGCACTTGAAGAAGCCATGCTTGGCTTACTCCAGTGGAAGTAACACCAGCCTTAATTTCCTCACTTCTACAAAGTGACACCCTTGGTGGTTTAAATTGAGAGCTGCAGAGCAAGGAGTAATTCCTAGAAAGGCCTGGGGAGTTTATCAGCTGGGTAATAATCACTTCTGATGGTAATTATCAGGTACTGTGCTATAGGACCCTTGCGACTTAAACTTTCTTAAGAAATATTACTTAATGGAGTTAATAGTGTTTTGTTAAATTCATGGAATATAGTTAGGATAAATATGTATTTTAATGTCAGTGGGCAAGGGAACAAGAGATAACTGCCCACCAACAAAATAGAAAAAGACTTCTTAGTCCCAACAGGGGTAAATGGCACATGTTTAAGATTGTACTTTGAGAGAACTTCTATATCAGTGGTATCAAACCTATGGCATATGTGTTATTGCATTTTTCTTTTAAGACAAAAGATGTTAATGTAGAGTTGTTTTTTCTAAACTAAAACTTCAGTATTCAGGTTTAATTACAGTATTGGAATTTTGCAATAAATAAGCGGGGTTTGGGTGCAGTTTGGCACTGCCTCTAAGGGGTTCGCCATCCCTGTTCTTTTCTATGCTCCCAGAGAAATGTTTCTGAAAATTGGAAATTCCTACAAACCACAGTGATCCTGCCTGAGTGTGAAGCTGGTAGGTGCCACCTGGTGGTAATTATTGCTCACTGTTGTTGATTATTCTTTGCTTCCTCTACTTCAATTCTCTGTC